TTGGTGTTACGGAGAGCACCTTTGACTATTTCTTACTTAACGACATATAATTTTTACGAAAGTGCTGAAAAAGTTACATTTGACTATTTTTCTTACTTAGCGACATATAATTTTAGTTACGAAAGTGTTGAAAAAGTTACATTTGACTCTTTAGTTGAGGAAAGACAAGAAAAAAAATATGACGACAGTGACTATTTTAGTGCTCCACAAAGTATAAATGTCAGTTAAGAACGACGATGATAGATATCTTTGGTTATATTTTCTTACTTGACGAAAACATAATGGTTGTTACGAAATGATGAACGAGACTATTTTCAATTACTTGACGATGGATAAAGTTAGTTATGAACAGTGTTGGAAAGATTCCTTTGACAATTTTTTAGCTAAGAGAAAGGTTGTTTTAGTTAAGAACGGTGTTGAATGAGATTAATCCTGACTATTTTTTAGCTAAGGGAAAGGTTGTTTTTAGTTAACAACGGTGTTGAATGAGATTAATCCTGACTATTTTTCGGTTGATTGGATAATAAGTTTAGTTGAGAAATGACGAAAGTGACTATGTTTTAGTTGATTGGATAATAAGTTTAGTTGAGAAATGACGAAAGTGACTATGTTTTAGTTGATTGGATAATAAGTTTAGTTGAGAAATGACAAAAGTGACTATGTTTTAGTTGTTTGGCGAAAGATTTTTAGTTAAGAAGTTACAAGAAAGGTTTGTCTTTGTAAATTTGGAACTGAATAAAGTGTAGATTTGTCTACACTAATAGAACAACACTGCATGATTTGGTCAACGTGGTGGAGCCATCCAATTTAAAACAGAAACACTAACATTTGAAATGCATGGAAGAAGATATATTGAAATAGAAACACTTCCAGACAGTAAAACGTGTTACTTCCAACCACTGGACATACTAGAATTCTACACTCATGGCCTATCACAAGCAGGACAAGCAGTAGCCAAAAAAAGATGGCAAACACTTAGGACTACTGTATTTGGATATGGGATGAAAATAAACGAAGCAGGATTCTTCTCCACTCTATGATACCACTACAGGATATCCTCAAAAACGAACAAGGCACACCAATAGAACAAACAACACCAAACATCCAAACATTTATGGAAATCTTCAAAGACACAAACTACAGTGAAGGAAAAATGACATTTCCTTCAACAACAACATTGGACAAATGGCTAGACAATCCACAACAAGCAACATTAGACCAATCAGCTACAAATCCAGAATGGCTCATAGCAACAATGGGACACTATGACACAATGAGACCAGGAGATAGAAAAGCATTTACCATTCATCCAGACAATACATCATGGTACAAAATCGCAAACAGCGGCGGCCAAGAATCAAACAAATGGAACTATCTACCACTCTGGGGAGGAGCACGAAACTGGACCAGACCATCAGATGGACCACTTCGCTACAACCCAATGCGAGCAGACCAAACACATGGAATCTTCATGAGTCATGTTTGAGTCGTTGTTTCATGAGTCAGGAGATAGAAAGATTCCCTTCGTGGAATGCGAAGCGCTTTGCATTCCCCAGCAACCAATCACGTGAGGCCACGTCACCCTTTTGACCAATCAGAGGGCCTGAAAATCCCCCTTCAGGGGTCTGAGGGTGGACAAGGCCGAAGGCCAAAATAAAGATGACTGAGTGAAGGGTATATTTTGGTTATGTGAGGTAGGAGGTTTTACTTCACCCCTCAGATTAACTATTTGTAGTACTCATCATATTTGCGGATAATAATAGTAGTTGTTGGGTTGTTTTTTTATTTTCGGTATTTTTTTATACATTTTACATTTTTGTTTAGAATGGGTGATTAATAGTATATTCAGTAACATTATTTTGTGCCATGAGGGTTTGGAGATGTTGATTATATACGGACGATGGTCCTGTCTCCATACCGTCAGGTGGCAATCTTATAGTTATGTTTATAAAATGTTCCATTGTAAGTCTAGCCCTAAATTTTATTAATGCTCCATTGGTGTCTTTTACAGGTGTCATCCTCATGAAGATTCCATGTGTTTGGTCTGCTCGCATTGGGTTGTAGCGAAGTGGTCCATCTGATGGTCTGGTCCAGTTTCGTGCTCCTCCCCAGAGTGGTAGATAGTTCCATTTGTTTGATTCTTGGCCGCCGCTGTTTGCGATTTTGTACCATGATGTATTGTCTGGATGAATGGTAAATGCTTTTCTATCTCCTGGTCTCATTGTGTCATAGTGTCCCATTGTTGCTATGAGCCATTCTGGATTTGTAGCTGATTGGTCTAATGTTGCTTGTTGTGGATTGTCTAGCCATTTGTCCAATGTTGTTGTTGAAGGAAATGTCATTTTTCCTTCACTGTAGTTTGTGTCTTTGAAGATTTCCATAAATGTTTGGATGTTTGGTGTTGTTTGTTCTATTGGTGTGCCTTGTTCGTTTTTGAGGATATCCTGTAGTGGTATCATAGAGTGGAGAAGGAATCCTGCTTCGTTTATTTTCATCCCATATCCAAATACAGTAGTCCTAAGTGTTTGCCATCTTTTTTTGGCTACTGCTTGTCCTGCTTGTGATAGGCCATGAGTGTAGAATTCTAGTATGTCCAGTGGTTGGAAGTAACACGTTTTACTGTCTGGAAGTGTTTCTATTTCAATATATCTTCTTCCATGCATTTCAAATGTTAGTGTTTCTGTTTTAAATTGGATGGCTTTATGTGGATTCCCTTCTCCGCCTCCTTCTCCGTGTTCTCCTTCTTCCATATTTTCGTCTTCAGCCATTCTTCTTACTCTACGTCGTGGTTCATCATCCTCTCGTTTACGTTTGGGTGTTGGTGGTGGCGTTCTGGAATAGAAATATATATTATTATTTATATAGTTATTATATATATATTATTTATATACTAATATATATATATATATATATATATATATATATATATATATATATATATATATATATTTATATTTTATAATATAATACTTACGGCAATGAACTCATTTATTTTCTGTTTGTTTCTGTAGTAGAGATATAAGACGTCTGCTGTTGTGATCCTGCCTGGTGGGGGGTCGAGGCTGTTGTGAGCTGGCATCCTGTCGCTCATTCCTTTTATTTCTATATTGAATTGGAATGTTTTTGTTCTTGATTGTAATGCTGCTCCGTCTGCTGGTGCTACCCAATAGTCTATTGGTTTGTTTGTTGATATGAATATTGGTATTCTTTTTAGTGGTTCCATGTCACTGTTTTTCACATTAATTTCAAATGTAGAACCTTCTAGGAGTAGTTTGTATTCATCCACAGTTGCGTGATTTATTCTTGGTTCTTCAAAGAGTGCAAAGTTTCTATTTAGGAGGTTTTGGAAATGGAACTGGTTTGTGTCTCCTCCTCTTGTTATTGTTCCTGTGTTCAGAGTATTTAGTAGTGCACCAAGTGTTAGTGTTTTTCCTGTTCCTGTAGGTCCTTCTATTACTAGAGTATTTATTTTGGTAATTTTTTTATCTGCTATCATTATAAACCACGAGAGGAATTCAACGATATTGATATTGTTTTTGTTGAATAGATATTTCAGCCATGCCACATTTCTGTCTTGATGTGTTTCTTTTGTTGCACGTTGTAGTTGGATCATTATTGGTTGAGAATTACTTTCTTGTTGTTTCTTTTTAATTGTAAATGCCAGTATAGATCGTATTTTGTCTTTATATCCTGTTCCCAGTGTTTTGTACATGAGTGCAAACTCTTCTTCTGTTTGTTTATGTAAAAGGTCATTGACACTGAGAACATTATGTTTTTCTATCATTTCTAGTATGAATTCATATTCACTGTTTTTGTTTCCTTTTCCTTTTCGTTCTTGTCGTTTTTTCTCCATATATGGACATGGGCCGTCTATTTCATCTGATGGTATTTTGTTGTGTGTGAAGTACCTGATGATGTTTTTTATTTTGGAAGACACAATACCAAAATAGTGCAGTGGATTATTCAATTATACAATGTATAATTACCTGTATAACCTTCATGAATACTGAGTATAAAAGTTATACAGAGAACATATGATGTACATGAAAACATGACAAAGAACAAAGAGAACATACGGGGAAAATGGTAGAAAACAGAAAAAATGAGAAAAACAGGTGAAAAAAATTGAACTGAGCATGCTGTGAACATTTGTAGAACATGGAATGAACACAGAAAACATGGAAAAAAATGTGAAGAACACAGCTGAATATAGAGAAAATATGCAAATACAGTATGATTATTGAAGGTTTGGATACGTTGGGGATGAGAATTGTAAGGTGATTACTCTGATAAACAGATAGGCTGGAGAGGGACTTGATCGGATATAATTATGTTCGATGATCTAAGACTGAGGAAATGGAGCTTGGCTAATGTCCAGATTAATTTTACTACGTTAGAAATAAGGTGATCTTAAATCTCGGGGTGATTTAGTTGGAAAATAAAGAACTTGTACAAAATGAACTAACCTGGGGCACAAGAGTTGAAACTTGATAACTGAACTGGTTTTTATTTATTATGTCTGAAAATGTAGTTGAGTGTTCAAATCTCAGGGGGATTTGGACTGATAGTAATGAATTTACAGGAGTGAACTTGGACAGAGGACAAGAGCTAGAGTTTTATAATTGTTTACATCTTATTTACTATGTCTGAAATACAGAGGGTAAAAATTTCAGGGGAATGGATAGGATATTAACAAAGACTTGAGGGTGGGGGACGAGAGCTGGAGCTCAGTAACTGACTTGATCTTATTTACTACGACTGAAATATGACTGTTTAAAATTTAAGGGGGATTGATGGGTTATTTACAAATATACGAGAGAGAACTAAGGTGTGGGACGAGAGCTGGAGCTCGATAACTGTTTTGATCATATTTACGGTGTCTGAAATACAGAGGGTAGAAATTTCAGGGAATTTGATAGGATAATACCGAAGACACGAGAGGAAAGTAAGGCGGGGGATGAGAGCTGGAGCTCAGTAACTGACTTGATCTTATTTACTGTGTCTGAAATACAGAGGGTAAAAATTTCAGGGAATTTGATTACGCTGACGAAGATGTGCGAGGGAACTAAGGTGGAGGACAAGAGCTGGAGCTCGGTAACTAAATTACTGTATTGAACTACGTTTGAAATATGATTATTTTTAAATTTTAGAGGGATTGGACTGTTAGTATTCATTATACGACAGGGGACTAAGGCAGGGGATAGGAGCTGGAGCTCGATACCAAATTATTGTATTTTAATACGTTTAAAATAGCTGTGTTTTAAATCTCGAAGAAAATGATTGGATACTAAAGAAGATGAATTAGTAAAACTAAGGTGGGAACATGAGCTAGTCCCTGACTTTGTTTATATATGTAAAACTGAATAGTTTAATGAAAAGGAACTATGAATGAACAATATGAAGGAGAGGGACGGTCCAGATATTATTATGGAGAAGATAAGATAAGATTATCGAGGTGACCTGCATGCGGCGTCTGGCTGACGGTCTAAAGTAAACACATGTGAGCCACAGATTGTGAGGTAAGGGGGTGAGGTATGAGCGGGAGACAGTGAAATGATTCAGATATATAGCAATATACTAGTTTCTAAGTAAGAATCCCATGAGAACTCTTAACAAAACTCGTATGACATTATTTCATGATAAGAACTTTTAACAAACTTCTAAAGTCTCGGAAATTATTTTCATCATAAGAACTTTAACAAACTCGAATGATATTATTTTCATCATAAGAACTTTAAAAAACTTCTAAAATCTCAGAAATTATTTTCCTCATAAGAATTCCATAATTCAAAATCTGAGACTGCCCAAATTTACCTGAAAACCCCCAAGCGCCACAGGTAACTTTTCCGAAGTTGAAAACAGGCAAAATATGTCCGTAGAGTTTACCTGGAAATGCTGGGACACAAACACGATATTTATTAAAAATTTTCTTTAAGATTTTCCTACTTATTTTCCTCAAAAGAACGCTTAACAAACCTCTAAAATCTCAGAAATTATTTTCCTCATAAGAATTCCTTAATTCCAAATCTGTGACTCCCCAAATTTGCCTGAAAACCCTAAAGCGCTACAAGTGATATTTTAAATTTACCTGAAAACCCCCAAGCGCCACAGGTAACTTTTTCCCCCAGAAAAAAAAGTTACCTGTGGCGCTTACCCCCTACTACTATAGGCTACTCGTCGTTGGTTCTATTATTCAAGAGAAGGTCGAGCCCAACTGTGTCACAACCTACACCACCACAACATTGGTGAAAGGTTGCCGGCTGAGTCCCTTCATTTTTCTCTCGAAAACAATGACCGTGAATTCTCTTCGACAAATTCTGAGAGTCACAGAGGGAAGAGAGAGAACAAATCCACAAGGGCCGTGATGAGGGTTCGAACCTACGTCCGGGTTAGTTAATTAACTGGAAAGGTAAAAGGTTGAAGAGACGGGGATAGAGGCTACACTTGGATAGTAAAATAGATGAGAGAGAACTCTTCCCCCCCCCCCACTCCCCCCAGTAATAATATAAGGCGACATTCAATTTAAGCAACAGCCTATAACCGGCCAAATTTAACTGCCTAATATTATAGTTCCATTAAATTTGCATATATACTCAATAATAAATTTTGTCACACAGACTCCCTTCAGCAACGTCTTAAATTAAGCAACAAGTCTCTTTAATCAGTTAGGCCAAAGGAACATATGCAAACTCAGCCCGCGGTGTTGTCATAAAGTTATGGTAAGGTCTATAAGGCCTGTTTATACCAGTTACCCCTCCTCGACTCACCATTCATCCCTCAGCGTCCTAAATACACATACACACTCACATGCCAATGGTGTATGTGTATGTATGCCTATATACACATACACATGCCTATGGCGTATTTTTAGCGTTCATTTGCCATTACAAGGACCTCTAGTGTGTGTGTATGAAGTACATGTATAATTCTGTTTAAGCATCCTGTAATGTAAGAAAATCCTATTTTAGCACAATGGACTGGAAGAAAATCCTGTTTTAGCGCACTGTACTGGAAGAAAATCCTGTTTTAGCACACTGTACTGGAAGAAAATCCTATTTTATCACACTGTATTGGAAGAAAATCTTGTTTTTGCACATTATACTGGAAGACAATCCTGTTTTAGCACACTGTACTGGAAGATAATCCTGTTTTAGCACACTGTACTGGAAGATAATCCTATTTTAACACACTGTATTGGAAGCCAATGAAAACAAATCCTAAAATACTTGACCGAAGGATCTCAAATTTACAAAGGTAGAAACATTAGTTTACCAGAAAGAACGCAAATGGGTCTGGTTCTTTGGGGATCGTCCCAGGGGGAAGGTCCAGGAGAAGAACCGGTCCATTTTAAACCACGAAACTGAATTATCCGCCTACACGCTACTCTTGGTTTTATCGATGGTGAAGAGCGGAAGTCGGGGAGCGGGAAGAAACGTTTTCTCGGCATTCGGGGTTACAGTGTGATGAATTGGTCAGGTCATCTCCGTCTCGGGTTCCCATTTTGGGGAGCATGATACCGCCAGGAGGCTGGACGCGAGGCATCAGTGATGCTGTGATGCTGTTGGGTTTCAGGCAAGTGGATGATGCAGCATTTCGTGGTGTCAGTGGTGCAAGGCATGATTCTTGATAATTACATAGAGATGTCAATTAATAGTGAGAAATGCTTCTCAGCTTCACAATTCAAATCAGAAGTTCATCAGACGACTTCTGAAACTTTTCTCAAGCGACCAAATCCATCCCTAACCTGGCTGACCGCCGGCCATTTTGACGGTCAAGAGGATTATGGTCTTCAGCCAAAGTTTTGGGTCACTTGTTTAACAAGAATTCTTTAGTGTTCAGAAAGTTTTATGTCGTCTGCATCAGTGAAACACTTTATTCTTTTAACTTTAAAAGCAAAGGACAATAAAGTTCAGAGTTACAGGCTTTATATTTTATGGTAGTTAGTGTGTTGTTAGTGGCTGTTAGCGTTTATAATAATAATGAATAATAATGATAATAATGAGAAAATAAGAAAACTTGAGAAAGATTCGAACTTATGTTCTAGGTACACCCAAGAGAAGAGGTTCGAGCCCTCCTCAAGACTCCTACTCATTTTCTCACTGACACCGATAGAGGCGAGACCAAAGAGCCAAAGTTAAACCCCCGCAAGCACAGCTACGTGACTACATCCCATTATTGTAATTATGTTAACTATTTAATAACTGTAAACAAAGCCGCCAAAGATTGAGAAAAGATGTACAGGTTCGTAATTGTTTGCGTAACTGCTTCGTGAATCTGGCCCCTAGATTCACGAAGCAGTTACGCAAGCACCTACGAACCTGTACACCTTTTGTTCAATATCTGGCGGGTTTATTTACATATAATAAACAGTGTACAATGAGCTCCGAGGCGTCAGGACGCTGTTTATAACAATAACAACATTTGCTTATGGAAGTTTCGACGCTCGTCAGCTGTTAATGTCAACAAAGCCGCCAAAGATTGAGAAAGCTGTATATAGCATCGAAGGTAGTTGCGTAACTGCTTGTTCAATCCTGGCTCTTTAAGGCAGTTTGACTGGTCCTTGAGGTTGTTAATAATATATTTCAACAAATTCATAACATCAGATTACAGTGTTGCTCGTCTAGTAGGTACAGTATTTTTATATTTAAACAATGTACTAGGTATTCTCAGGGTTACTAGCTAAGGAAATCTGGCACCATTGCTAACGCGTCATTTACACATGTGCCGTCGCTTCCGAGGAGGAATGGTCGAGACAGTTAACGGCGTCATTCACCACCTAGTCCAGTAGTTAACAAGTGTCTTATCATGTGCTCCAAAAGCTCCTGACGTGATCCAAGGTGTAATAGGGCATGA